TGCAAGGCTTTTCAGTGCTAAGCAAGGTGATTCATTCCAACATGAACAGACAAATGTTGTTTCTCCCACCCTGGACCTTCCAGAGATATATAACCCTCCCTTGCCTAGTTTCCAATATAGCTCACAACCTCTGAGGATGCCTGCCATAGATGTGTTTGAAATGTGAGGAGACAATGCTTCTGGAACATGGCCATACAGCTTGGAAAACTCACAGCAATCCAGTCATCTGTACTCACACTTCAAAGGATCGGGATTCTTCTTAGCAGTAGAAGAAGCACTAAGAATTTGTGTGTCCAATTTTCTTCTTTCAGGTGACATTTGAGGATGTGGCTGTACATTTCAGTGTGGAGGAGTGGGCCTTCCTGGATCTGGATCAACGGGCCCTGCACTGGGAGGTCATGGAAGAAAATTATAAGATGGTTGCTTCTCTGGGTAAGAATCCCTCAGCCTCTTGGATAACAAAAATCAGTTTTGGGAGTTGTCATTTTGTTCTATATTGTTGTTGCATAGTTCAGGAACATGCAGCACCTTTGGTTCCTGACCAGGTTGTAAGAAACAATTCTCCTCTGGGCACTACTTCTGAGGAGTGGCTCTTCAGTGGGGCATTTACTCAATGCTTACTTGAACATGGTTTAGTAGGGTGGCTCATGGTAAGGGATTTGGAGGTCAGTTGTAAATGACCCATATTATTTAAACCATTTATTTATAACATCTGGAAGTTTTTAGAGTTGTAGTAACACTTGCAATCCCTGTAAACAGAAGACCTACAAAGCCGATTTGTCAATAAGTACTGCAATGCGCTCTACATGAGGTTGCCTCTAAAGACTTTTCAGAAGCTTCAATTAGGCTAATGGGCGGCAGCTAGATTACTCACCAGAGTGTCGTACATGGAGCATGCAAGCTCGCTGTTACGTAAACTTGACTGGTTGTCAGTCTGCTACCGAGCACAAGTCTTAAAGTGCTGGCTTTAGCTTATACAGCCCTAAACGATTCCAGCCCAGCTTACCTATCCAAACGTATCTTCCTTTATGACCCACCTCAGAGGTTAAGATCATTGGGGGTGGCCCTGATCCCGATCTCACCACCCTCTCAAGTGTGATTGGTGGGGATGAGAGACAGGGCCTTCTCAGTGGTGGCCCCCTCTGTGGAACTTCCTAATGAAATGAGGTTGGCCCCCTCCCCACTATCCTTTTGGACAAAACTTAAATCATGGTTGTGGAACCAAGCATTCCAGCAGCAGATAGTGATAATTATGTGAATGACAATGGACAGACTTCAGATTGTGACTTTGGATGTGCTTTTAAATCGATGTTTATAATTGATGTTTTAAATTGTTTTAATTGTAATTGCTATTGTTATAATTGTTTGTTTGGCATCTAATGGTTGCCGGTTGTGAGCCACCCTGAGTTGCATGTTGCATACCCTCCCGCTGAAGACGATATTATGGTGGGAGTGATCATCCAACACAACTTCCAGAAAGGGGTGCTCCTTTGATGAGGCAAAGTTCTCTCCTCCATAAGAAGAATCCTCTTTCTCTCACTCAGAACATTTCTGTAGTTGATTGGTTTCAATCTTGCATTTTCCCATGATTTCCTACATTTTGTCTTTCTTCTTTCAAGGTGGTGATGGACAACGGAGTGAAAATGGGGGAGCTCCAAATAAAATGTGGCTGAAAGGAGCGAGAAGTAAAAAGGAAGAAGAAAGAAGCCTAAGAATGAAAGCAGAAGGATATAACAGGAAGCAATGCCTTGTCAACACCAGAGAAATCACAATCCAAGAGACAGTACACAAAAGCAAGGAGATTGGAAACAGCCCTGTCTATGAGAACGGGTTCTTCCAGGAAGCATCTAGTATACACTCTGCACACAATGAGGAATGCCATATTGTAGGCAAGTCATATAAATGCCTGGAATGTGGAAAATGCTTTCATCAAAAAGGAAGCCTCAGTGTACACCGCATAATCCACACAGGAGAGAAGCCATATAAATGCCTGGAGTGTGGAAAATGCTATACCCAAGAAAGTTACCTAAGGAGACACCAAAAAACCCACACAGGAAAGAAACCCTATAAATGCCTGGAGTGTGGAAAAGGTTTTTGTGATAAGAGAAGTCTTATTGGACATGAAAGGAGTCACAGAGGAGAGAAACCCTATAAATGCCTGGAGTGTGGAAAAGGTTTTTGTGTTAAGAGAAGTCTTATTGGACATGAAATGAGTCACAGAGGAGAGAAACCCTATAAATGCCTGGAGTGCGAGAAGAGTTTCTCTTCAAAAGATAGCCTAAAGCTGCACCAAAACGCTCACAGAGGAGAGAAGCCATATAAATGCCTAGAGTGTGGAAAATGTTTCATTCAAAATGCTCACCTTAAAAGCCACAGAAGAACTCACACAGGAGAGAAGCCCTATAAATGCCTGGAGTGTGGAAAAAGTTTTTCTCAAAAGAGAATTCTTATTGGACATGAAATGAGTCACAGAGGAGAGAAACCCTATAAATGCCTGGAGTGCGGGAAGGGTTTCTCTTTGAGAGATAGCCTTAAGTATCACCAAAACATTCACTCAGAAGAAAAGCCACATAAATGCCTGGAGTGTGGAAAATGCTTCCCTCTAAAAGGATTCCTCAAGGCACATAAAAAAACCCACATGGGAGAGAAGCCATATAAATGCCTGGAGTGTGGAAAAGGTTTCTTTCAGAAAGGTAACTTCAAGAGACATGAAATAATCCACACAGGAGAGAAGCCATATAAATGCCTGGAGTGTGGAAAAGGTTATTGTGAAAAGAGAGCTCTCATTGGACATGAAATGAAACACAGAGGAGAGAAACCCTACAAATGTCTGGAGTGCGGGAAGAGTTACAGCCTTAAAGCTGTTCTTACAGCTCACCAGAAGAGTCATACAGGAGAGAGTGGGAAGAGTTTTAACTACAAATCAGAGCTCAAAAATTTCCAGGAGAGTCCAAAACAAAACCAAAGACATGTCTGAAGTGAGGGAAGAGCTTCCATTGGAGAGTAGTCTCAAGGCCCATTAAAAAACCCACACAGGAGAGAAGTCAAAAAGCCTGGAATTTGATCCAAGTGAACTGCAAATCAATCCTTGAAGATGACTGGAATGTTCATACAAAGAGAAATTCTACATATCCCTGCATTTTGGAAAGAGTTGAGTTGCACAACAAACTTTGCGGTGTCCTAAAAATCGAAACCGGAAAGAAGCCATGGAAATGCCTGGAGTATGTCAAGCCTTCACTCAAAAGAAAAATCCCCTTGAGCATTAAATGAATCTTGAGAGGAGATAAGCCTCTAAATGCTCACAGGGTGGGAAGAGTTGTGTCCTCAAATCAGGTCTCAAACTCCAGGAGAGAAAGCATACACATGCCAAGAGGGTGAAAAGGATTCAATCCTCAGTGGGCAACAGAATACTCACACAATGACGGAAACACACATGCCCGAAATTGCTCTAGGCTTTGTATTGATTCTCTCGTGTCTAGATTGATAGTTGATTCAAGTCATCTTGGCCCTTTTTTTGGCACACTTTAAGGGAGAACCTGGCAGATTCAGTTCAATCCTGGCCTTGTGGCTCTGTTGCTGCTTCACTGGTTGATAGGATGCGGTTTCCACACTGCTTTCCTCCTTTTCAGCTCTTTTGTGCTTGTTTTAGAAAGTTCACTGAAACGTGCTCAGTTTCTTGTATTCTTTTGCAAATGCTCAGAGATAAATAAAGGCAGCTTATGACCTTATGGTGTCATGTTTTGAGTCTTTGATTGTCCCTCTGTAAGACAGAGCTTGCACTCAGCCTTGGAAACCCACTGGTGTGTCTGGAGCAAGTGACATTCTCTCAGCCTCAGTGAAAGAAGACAAAGGTGAAGTTCCTCAGGACCAAAATACTATGTGCTTGTCTTTCACTCCACCAGTTTCACATGCCTTGAAAGGTTTGTTTTGGGTAGGAAATTCTCCAAAATAACAAAGAGTATTTCAAATTACCAAATGGGAGACTTCACAGAGCATTCTCAGCCCGCAGCAGGCAGCAATAGTGTGGCTGTAAAGAATTATCGAGTTCAAGGAAGTGAGATGAAGAGCTCAGTCTTTAAAGTTTCAAACTGTTTATTACAACATAAAAACAACATTGCTTTCTGCAAGTCTCCATTACTTCTAGATTGAAACTAAAGGAGAAATCTCTAAAGACTAAATTTTCCCTTTCATGCAAAGTAGAGGGATATCAGGATGAAAAGGAGGTGAAAGAAGAGAAGAATTGATCTTGACCTCTTAAAACAAAGGAAACGTGCACCCTGAAGAATTCCCTTCTACGTCATCAGTTAGGATGGAGGCAAAAGATCAGAGTGAGAGAAAACGGAACTACAGACATTCAGGAATGAGGAGGAAGGAATTCCGTCCTCTTAGCTTGATTCTATCTATCTGCTTCCCATTGAGGACTAGAGACTTGAGGAGCATGGGGTTGAATTCCAACAATTTTGTGCAGGGCTTCTCCAATCTTCTGGCAGCCATTTTGCAAAGGCACGTTTTAAATATCTCAAATATCCCTTTGGGGCTCCAAAGGTGGAATGTGTTGGAAATGACAACCTTCAATAAGTTTTCTCTAGCAATCTGTTTGTTTATGATCTTGTTGCTGTTTCCTGTATGTATGTTCTGGTATGCAGCATTCTTTACTCTATGGTTTCTGAAGTTATAAAAGGGACTGAAGACCACAGGCTCTTTTTCTTCTCTTTCTCTCTTTTTGACTAGGTGACCCATTGACAGCTGTTTTGTTACAAGAGGAATGCCCTGGCCAGCTGGCACAGAGAACTATTTTAAAGATATTTGAAACTGAACTAATAAGTTTTTGTACTTGTGTAGGCTGAGCACATGAAAGTTGTGATTAAACCAAATTTGTTACTTCCATCAAAGTCTATTTCATTTTTGTCTCTTGAGTGCAAGATATGAAGCAAGTTATTTTATGGGAGAGTATTTGTTTGGGCACCTAAAAAACACTTCTAAAGCTCTGCTGTTTTTATGCACTGGCAAAATCTGTTTTCCTGACAGATCGGAGATTGCAGGTTATTCAGTCTAACAACTGAAACCACTGTCTAGCATAATTATAATTAATTGTATCTCACAAGAGGAGATTCTGCTCTAAAGGGCAATGTTCAGTAATAGGTTTTGTTCGCTAATAGAGTATGTTATCTAATAGAATGCCTGCAAATTATCTTCCATTATTGAAAGATCTTTCAATTGAAGCGGGGGGGGGGGGGTGGACTCCTTAAAAAACAGGAGGGATTTGGGCTCTTGAGCTAAACCTTTCCTTCTCATGGATCACAAGGAGCCATTCAGGACCAGTGCTGAGCTGAGGAGACTTTCCAGAAAGGAAAGGAACACTAGATGCCAATGGGCTCAAATAACTAGCACTTGCTGAGCTATTAAACATGAGCCAACAATGTGATGTGGCGGCAAAAAAAGCCAATGGGATTTTGGCCTGCATCAATAGGAGCATAGTGTCTAGATCTAAGGAAGTAATGCTACCCCTCTATTCTGCTTTGGTTAGACCACACCTGGAATATTGTGTCCATTCTGGGCACCACAATTCAAGAGAGATATTGACAAGCTGGAATGTGTCCAGAGGAGGGCAACTAAAATAATCAAGGGTCTGGAGAACAAGCCCTATGAGGAGTAGGAGCTGGGCATGTTTAGACTGAAGAAGAGAAGGATGAGAGGAGATATGATAGCCATGTATAAATATGTGAGAGGAAGTCAGGGAGGAGGGAGCAAGCTTGTTTTCTGCTTCCTTGGAGACTAGGACGCGGAACAATGGCTTCAAACTACAAGAGAGGAGATTCCATCTGAACATTAGGAAGAACTTCCTGACTGTGAGACCCGTTCAGCAGTGGAACTCTCTGTCCCAGAGTGTGGTGGAGGCTCCTTCTTTGGAAGCTTTTAAACAGAGGCTGGATGGCCATCTTTCAGGGGTGATTTGAATGCAATATTCCTGCTTCTTGGCAGGGGGTTGGACTGGATGGCCCATGAGGTCTCTTCCAACTCTTTGATTCTATGATTCTATGATTACTATTGTTTAAACACAGCACTGGAATGTGTCCAGAAAAAGGTGACCAAAATGATCAAAGGCCTGGAAGCCATGAATTCTATGAGGATCCGCTTAGGGAGCTAAGTTATGCATAGCCTGGAGAAGAGAGTCAATCTCTCTCTCTCTCTATATATATATACATGCATACATACATACACACTCTAACATCAGTTATTAGAACAAGACAAGTCTGCTTTTTGTGTTTTAAGAATGCTTATAATATTCATAAGGATGTGGGTGAACTACAATTCCCAAAATCCGGGGCAATCCTCCCCAAACTCCACGAGTATTCAAAGTAAGCCATGTTGGGTCTGTATACCAAATTTGGTGCAGATCTGTCCTTGGTTGGCTTCAGTGATCTCTATGCAGGTGAACTACAACTTCCAGATTCCAAGGTCAACCACACCCAAACCCCTCTTGTTTTCAAAGTTGGCCATGTTGGGTCTGTGTGCCAAGTTTGGTCGGAATCCATGGTCAGCTGGGTTCAATGCTCAGTTTTAACAACTTTAGATATGCAGATGATACCACTTTAATGGCTGAAATTGAGGAGCTCAGAGGTGAAAGAAGGAAGTGCAAAAGTTAGGTTGTAGTTAAACATAAAAAAACCAAGATTATGGCAACCAGACTGACTGATAACTGGCAAATAGATTGAGATAATGTGGAGGCAGTGACAGACTTTGTACTTCTAGGTGCTAAGATTACTCCGGACACAGACCGCAGCCAGGAAATCAGAAGACGTTTCCTTCTTAGAAGGAGAGCAATGGCCAATCTCAATAAAAAAGTGAAGGGTAGAGACATCACACTGTTAACGAAGATCTGCACAGATTAAGCAATTGTATTCCCTGTAGTTCAGCTGAGCTGAACTGTGGTGTTGGAGGAAATTCTGAGAGAGACTTGGACCGCGAGAAGATCCAAACAGTCCACACTCCAGGAAATAAAGCCCGACAGCTCACTGGAGGGAAGGATATTAGAGGCAAAGATAAAGTACTTTGGCCACATAATGAGAAGACAGGAAACCTTAGAGAAGAAAATGATGCTGGGGAAAATGGAAGGAAAAAGGAAGAGGGGCAAGGTGGATGGATGTCATCCTTGAAGAGACTGGCTTGACCTTGAAGGAGCTGGGGGAGTCAACAGCCGACATTGAGCTCTGTTCTGGTCCATGAATTATAGAATCATAGAGTTGGAAGAGACCTCACGGGCCATCCAGTCCAACACCATTGTGCCAAGAAGTAGGAAAATTGCATTCAAAGCACCCCTGACAGATGGCCATCCAGCCTCTGCTAAAAAGCCTCCAAAGAAGGAGCCTCCACCACACTCTGGGGTAGAGAGAGTGTTCCACTGCTGAACAGCTCTCACGGTTAGGAAGTTCTTCCTCATGTTCAGGTGGAATCTCCTTTTCTGTAGTTTGAAGCCATTGCTCCATTGCGTCCTAGTCTCCAGGGCAGCAGAAAACAAGCTTGCTCCCTCCTCCCTATGACTTCCCCTTACGTATTTATACATGGCCATCATGAGGTCGCAAAGAGTCGGAAGTGACTGAACGAATAAACACATGATCTAACTTTGTTGATTGAGCTTGGGCCCATGTAAGCCGCCCCTAGTCCTTTTGGGGGGATGGGATATAAAAATAAAATTCTTCTTCTTCTTCTTCTTCTTCTTCTTATTATTATTATTATTATTATTATTATTATTATTATCTGAAACCCAAGGTGAGTCCACAGCAAACAAGATCACTCTGCTGGCTGTTGTATTAGATTACACGTCGGACACTTCCCAAGTGTTTAGGACTGTGTGATGTATCGGCGAATAATGTGTGCAGATCCCCGCAAGGTGGCCTTTTGCAGCTGGCGGATGGTAATTTTGTCAGCGCTGATTGTGTTTAAGTGCAGGCCAAGGTCTTTAGGCACTGCAGCCAGTATGCCAATCACCACTGGGACCATCTTTACTTGGCTTGTGCCAGAGACTTTGCAATTCGATCTTTAAGTCCTCATATTGCATCAGTTTTTCCAGTTGTTTCTCTTCAATCCTGCAGTCACGTGGGATTGCAACATGGACGATCCATAGTTTGTTTGTTAACATGATCGTGAGGTAAGGAGTACTGTGCTCCTCATCCAAAATGGCACATTGTGGAGGTTCCCTCAGAGATGGCTTTGGGGCTCCATCCTTCCTTCCTCTGCACAATGGCCTCCCAGCCACCTTCAGCCAATGCCTTCGTTTCTGCAATGGGCCTCTGAAGGAGGCGGGCCCACCATGCAAGGCCTGTTCTGAGGGTGATTCCTTCCTCTTCCTGGCAGCTCTTTTGTGCCTCTTCCAAGAATGTTTCCTTCCTCTTCCTGGCAGCTCTTTTGTGCCTCATCCAAGAGTGTTTCCTTCCTCCTCCTGGCAGCCCTTTTGTTCCTCATCCAAAATGGCACATTGTGGAGGTTCCCTCAGAGATAGCTCTGCGGCTCCATCCTTCCTTCCTCTGCACCATGGCCTCCCAGCCACCTTCAGCCAATGCCTTCCCTTCTGCGATGGGTCTCTGAAGGTGAAGGGGCCACCATGCAAGGCCTGTTCTGGGGGTGCTTCCTTCCTCTTCCTGGCAGCTCTTTTGTGCCTCATCCAGGAGTGTTTCCTTCCTCTTTCTGGCAGCCCTTTTGTGCCTCATCCAGGAGTGTTTCCTTCCTCTTCCTGGCAGCTCTTTTGTGCCTCATCCAGGAGTGTTTCCTTCCTCTTTCTGGCCGCCCTTTTGTGCCTCATCCAGGAGTGTTTCCTTCCTCTTCCTGGCCGCCCTTTTGTGCCTCATCCAGGAGTGTTTCCTTCCTCTTTCTGGCCGCCCTTTTGTGCCTCATCCAGGAGTGTTTCCTTCCTCTTTCTGGCCGCCCTTTTGTGCCTCATCCAGGAGTGTTTCCTTCCTCTTCCTGGCAGCCCTTTTGTTCCTCATCCAAAATGGCACATTGTGGAGGTTCCCTCAGAGATAGCTCTGCGGCTCCATCCTTCCTTCCTCTGCACCATGGCCTCCCAGCCACCTTCAGCCAATGCCTTCCCTTCTGCGATGGGTCTCTGAAGGTGAAGGGGCCACCATGCAAGGCCTGTTCTGGGGGTGCTTCCTTCCTCTTCCTGGCAGCTCTTTTGTGCCTCATCCAGGAGTGTTTCCTTCCTCTTTCTGGCAGCCCTTTTGTGCCTCATCCAGGAGTGTTTCCTTCCTCTTCCTGGCAGCTCTTTTGTGCCTCATCCAGGAGTGTTTCCTTCCTCTTTCTGGCCGCCCTTTTGTGCCTCATCCAGGAGTGTTTCCTTCCTCTTCCTGGCCGCCCTTTTGTGCCTCATCCAGGAGTGTTTCCTTCCTCTTTCTGGCCGCCCTTTTGTGCCTCATCCAGGAGTGTTTCCTTCCTCTTTCTGGCCGCCCTTTTGTGCCTCATCCAGGAGTGTTTCCTCCCTCTTCCTGGCAGCCCTTTTGTGCCTCATCGAAGAGTGTTTCCTTCCTCTTCCTGGCAGCCCTTTTATGCCTCATCGAAGTTTCCTTCCTCTTCCTGGCAGCCCTTTTGTGCCTCATCAAAGAGTGTTTCCTTCCTCTTCCTGGCAGCCCTTTTGTGCCTCATCCAAGAGTGTTTCCTTCCTCTTCCTGGCAGCCCTTTTGTGCCTCATCCAAGAGTGTTTCCTTCCTCTTCCTGGCTGCCCTTTTGTGCCTCATCCAGGAGTGTTTCCTTCCTCTTCCTGGCTGCCCTTTTGTGCCTCATCCAGGAGTGTTTCCTTCCTCTTCCTGGCTGCCCTTTTGTGCCTCATCCAGGAGTGTTTCCTTCCTCTTCCTGGCTGCCCTTTTGTGCCTCATCCAGGAGTGTTTCCTTCCTCTTTCTGGCCGCCCTTTTGTGCCTCATCCAGGAGTGTTTCCTTCCTCTTCCTGGCAGCCCTTTTTTGCCTCATCCAAAATGGCGCCTTGTGGATGTTTCCTCAGAGGTGGCTCTGTGGTTCCATCCTTCCTTTGCACAATGGCCTCCCGGCCACCTTCAGCCAATGCTTTCTCTTCTGCGATGGGCCTCTGAAGGTGGCGGGCCCGCCATGCAAGGCCTGTTCTGGGGGTGGCTCCTTCCTTCCTTCTCCAGGCAGCCATTTTCTGCTTCATCCAAAATGGCGCCTTGTGGAGGTCCCCTCAGAGATGGCTTTGTGGCTCCTTCTTTCCTTAGCACAATGGCCCCCTTCCTCCAGGGCTGGCCCTGCTTGGCCTCTGAACCAGGCAGGACCTGGAGGGATGCCTCATGGAGAGAGAGAGAGAGACCTGGGCCCCCTTCTCTTCCCCTCCTTCCCTCTCTTGTGAGGGGCTCTCTCTCTCTCTCTCTCTCTCTCTCTCTCTCTTCTTACTCCTGGCCGGGGAAGGGGGCGTGGCCAGGGAGGAGAGGCCCCGCCCATAGCAACAGCAGCAGCAGCAGGAGGGAACCCGGAAGTAGAGTGGCAGAGACACAGAGGCAGAAGGCTGGGAAGAAGGCTTCTCAGGGCCGGGCGGTGAGGACTCTTTTCACCCCACCTTCTATATTTTGGGGAAGCCTCAGATGTGGAGGGGAGAGGGAAGGGAAGAGAAGGGGAGGCTGCCTCTGGGGGAAAAGGGAAGAGAGGTAAACAAAGGCCCCTGAAGGGACATGGGGCGGGCCTACGGACTACAACTCCCAAAAAGAGGATCAGGGCACGAGGAGGGGCAGGGGGCTGGGGGGAGGGGGCTCTGTGCTTGGCCCTCACAAACACCCCACAGGACCTAGCTCGCCCCACAAGGTTCCTCCACATAGATGGCCTTTGTCTACATCCCCAACCGGGCCCCTTCCTTCCTTCCTTCCTTCCTTCCTTCCTTCCTTCCTTCCTTCCTTCCTTCCTTCCTTCCTTCCTTCCTTCCTTCCTTCCTTCTTTCCTTGCTTGCTTGCTTGCTTGCTTGCTTGCTTGCTCCCTTGAGCCTTCCTCCCCTCCCCTTCTTCTTCCTTCCCTTCCTTCCTTGCTCTCCTCCTTACCTTCCCTCCTTCCCTTCCTTCCTTTTCTTTCCTTCCTCTCCTTCCCTTCCTTCCTTTTTTCTTTCCTTCCTTCCCTTCCCCCTTCCTTCCTTCCTTCTTCCTTCCTTCTTTCCTTCCTATCCTTCCTTCCTTCCTTCCTTTCTCCCCTTCCTTCCTTCCTTCTTTCCTTCTCCTTCTCCTTCCTCTCCTTCCCTCCTCCCTCTCTTCTCCTCCCTTCCTTCCTTCTTTCCCTTCCTCCTTCTTCCTTCTTCCTCCTTCCTCTTCCTCTCCTCTTCCTCCTCCCCTTCCTTCCTTCCTTCCTTCCTTCTTCCTTCCTTCTTCCTTCTCCTCCTTCCTTCCCCTCCTTTCTCCTTCCTCCCTTCCCTTCCTTCCTTGCTTCTCTACTTCTTACCTTCCCTCCTTCCTTCCATCCTTCCTTCCTTCCTTCCTTCCTTCCTTCCTTCCTTCCTTCCTTCCTTCCTTCCTTCCTTCCTTCCTTCCTTCCTTGCTTGCTTGCTTGCTTGCTTGCTTGCTTGCTTGCTTGCTTGCTTGCTTGCTTCCTTCCTTCCTTCCTTCCTCCCCTTCCCCTCCCTCCTTCCTTTTAGCCTGGCCTCCCTGCAAGGAGAATCATAGAATCAAAGAGTTGGAAGAGACCTCATGGGCCATCCAGTCCAACCCCATTCTCCCAAGAAGCAGGAACATTGCATTTAAATCACCCCTGACAGATGGCCATCCAGCCTCTGTTTAAAAGCTTCCAAAGAAGGGGCCTCCACCACACTCCGGGGCAGAGAGTTCCACTGCTGAACGGCTCTCACAGTCAGGAAGTTCTTCCTCATGTTCAGATGGAATCTCCTTTCCTGTAGTTTGAAGCCATTGTCCTAGTCTCCAGGGCAGCAGAAAACAAGCTTGCTCCCTCCTCCCTGTGACTTCCTCTCACATATTGATACATGGCCATCATGTCTCCTCTCAGCCTTCTCTTCTTCAGGCTAAACATGCCCAGCTCTTTAAGCCCCCTTCCTCCTGACCTTTAGGAAGCAAGTGAAGTCTTGGTTTTGGAAGTCTTGGACAAGGCATTTGCTGAGTTATGGCTGAGACCGGTAATTAACCACAATGTACGGGCTGAGTTGGACGTTGTTTTTATCCAGGCAAATGTTTTAGTATGCTTTTTATCTGATATGTATTTTTAATTTATTGTTTATATATGGTGTTTTAAAGGTTGTTTGTGAGCATTGGTCTTGGTCTTAGCCGGTCTGAGTCCCTCTATGGAGGTAGAGAAGATCGGGATACAAAAGTTTTAAATAATAAATAAATAAAGGGAAGGAAAGACACATGGCAGGTAGAAGGGGAGGCAGGCAGAGCAAAGGCAGGAAGAACATGCAAGCCTCTGAAGTCTTATCTGGGAAACTGGACAAAGTCTGGAGAAAAATGACACGGTTGGAGTCAGCTTATATGGCAAGCTTATATGGAAAATGTGGTTCTTTTTTATGTCCTTTTCATAGAATTGGCCATGAGAGCATGCTACGTTCTCCTATGAGGCATCTGCATCAGAGAATGAATGCACTTTGGGGCCACTTGGACTGCAATATCTTAATGTTCTGCCCTCCTGGGAGAGGGAGTTGGGTGAGGCACCAGCACTCTTGGGCAGAGAAGGCCAAGGACTTTGCCACACTACAACTCCCAGGATTCTTCTCAGTTTCAGAACTGAATACACAGGGAAACAAGGGAAGTGGGGCTGAATTTGAGGGAAAGGAGGAAGGGAAAGCAGTGTGAGGAGACTCCCATAGTGTTACTTCATGAAGTTTGCTCTCAACTGCCAGGGCTCTGCTTTTCTTATAGGGAAGCCAAATAGTGGCAACACAAAAATGGGTGGTAAAGACATCTTTTCACTTGAGGGTAGATCACTAACCTGGACTTCATCTCCTCTTTGTCTTGCGTAGTCTTTGCTTCGTGACATATTCATACGGAGAAGGGAAGAAGTTATTCAGTCTTGATGGAGCCCAGACTGAAGATGAAGGAGCCAAACCAGACCAGCCCTGAAGGGAGAAGAGAACCCTGCCAAACATGGGGCAGGAAAAGTGTTGGGTTCCCAGGCAGAATGGGTCAGGATGCCCTGGAGGAGAAGGCCTTCAGCCCAGACCTTCAGGGCCAATGCTTCCGGCATTTCCACTATGAGGAGGCCTTGGGGCCTCGAGAGGTTTGCAGCCACCTCCACTCTCTCTGCCGCCTGTGGCTGAAGCCTGAGGAACATACAAAGGTGGAGATGCTGGACCTGGTGATCCTGGAGCAGTTCCTGGCCATCCTTCCTGCAGAGATGGAGTGCTGGGTGAGGGAATGTGGGGCAAAGACCACTTCCCAGGCTGTGGCCTTGGCTGAAGGCTTCCTCTTGAGTCGGGCCCAAGAGGAGAAGGTGCTTCAGGAAGAGCGGCAGGAGAGAGAGGCCCTTCAGGCCCAGGAGGCCCCATTGGATACCAGCCAGGGCTTCCCTTCTGGGTGGATCAGGCTAGAGGAGGAGGACACAAGGGCTGCTCCACCAGGTGAGAGGGCTCCCTTTTGCTTGGTCCTCACCCTCAAGGTTCCTCCACATCTATGGTTTTTGCTTATATCCCCAGTAAGACTTGTTTTCTATAGACGGGTTGTTAGAACGTTTCTAAGAATAGTTATTAGAATATCTAGATGGATGATGCTATTGCATGAAACTGGCTGCATTGAATTAATGCTTATCATAGAACCAGTCCAATCTCCTACCATGCAGGAAAGCAAAATCAAATATCTCTGACAGATGGCCATCTGTTTAAAAGCTTCTAAGGAAGGACCCTCCACCACACTCCGAGGCAGCGAGTTCCAATGTTGAACAGCTCGTAGGGTCAGGAAGTTCTTCCTAATGTTCAGGTGGAATCTCCTTTCCTGTAATTTGAACCCATTTCTCCACTGAGTCCTAGTCTCCAGGGCAGCCGAAGACAAATCTGCTCCTTCTTCCTTGTGACACCCTTTCACATATTTATACATGGCTGTCATGTCTCCTCTTAACCTTCTCTTCTGCAGGCTAAACACATCCAGTTCTTTAAGACATTCCTCATAGGGAATAATGGTCTCCAGACCTTTCATCATTTTAGTCGCCCTCTTCTGGACTCCTTAGAGTCAATCTCTCCTTTGAACTGTGGTGCCCATAACTGGACACAGTATTCCAGGTGAGGTCTGTCTTCTGCAAACTTCATCAGCACGCCCTTCATCCACGTCATTAATAAAGATGTTGGACACACTACTTGCCCCCGGACCTTTTTTCCCCAATTTTATTTATGTATTTTATTGTTTTACCCCACTCCCTCCCTCCGCCTTTCTCCATGGACATACCGTTTGTACAATAAACCACAGAAAGTACATTTGAAATGCCAGTCTTAATCCCAATTTTTCCACTCCACTTCTTGTTTTCTGCTTCCTTGGAGACTAGGACTTGGCTTCAAACTACAAGAAAGGAGATTCCATCTGAACATGAGGAAGAACTTCCTGACTGGGAGAGCCGTTCAGCAGTGGAACTCTCTGCCCCGGAGTGTGGTGGAGGCTCCTTCTTTAGAAGCTTTGAAACAGAGACTGGATGGCCATCTGTCAGGGGTGATTTGAATGCAATATTCCTGCTTCTTGGCAGGGGGTTGGATTGGATGGCCCATGAGGTCTCTTCCAACTCTTTGATTCTATGATTCTATGATTCCTTCACAGCCATGCTTGTGAATCAAATTAAAATGTCCCTAGGTGTTTTTCTGCCTCTGTAACCCCAGTGCACTCTTTCTGTCTCTTCTGATGAAATTTGAGTCCATGTCTGTAGCCATCTAACAGTGTTTTCATTTAAATTTTCTTTAATCTGAAAGTTTGAATTCAGGCATATATTCGCCCTGCGTGAACGATCTCCGAGGTCAGCAAGCTTGTCTAGGAGTTTTCAATTTGTGCCTTCCATTTGTTGTTTTAAATTCACTACCTTGCGTCTAACAGCAACCAGACGCAGAGCCTTCACAGCAGTGGTACCATCAGTCTGGAATATTCTGCCACCTGAAGTCCTTGCCTTGCGGGACTTACCAGCTTTCCACAGGGCATGTAAGACATACCTGTTTCGACAGGCTTTTAATGTTTGATATTGCCGTTTTTAAATTGTTTTAAATTGCTTTTAAATTGTGTTAGATTTTAGCCATTCTTGTAAGCCGCTCCGAGCCCCAAGGGAGTGGCGGCATATAAGTCCAAATAATAAATAAATAAATAAAATCTCTTTTTGTTTTTTGGTTTCCTATGCCGCCCCCACTTCAGACAGTGACCTCCTTAGCTTCATCTTTTTTCTTTTTCAATCCAGTGCCAGGTTAAGGAGAGATTTACAATCTTACTGGGCTTTTTACAGCTTTATATGCTTTTGCAGTCAGGGAGCTCATCCAGGCACATCTACCCTGTCTGATGCATCCCGCAGTGCCCAGGACCGAACCCTGTGGCACTTCACTAGTAACTTCTTTCCAGGATAAAGAGGAACCATTGGTGAGCACCCTTTGGGTTCAGTCGCTTAACCAATTACAGATCCACCTAATAGTAGCATTGCCTAGCCCACATTTGACTAGTTTGCTTGCAAGAAGAGCATGGGGGACTCTGTCGAAGGCCTTGCTGAAATCAAGATATGCTACATTCACAGCATTCCCTTCATCTACCAAGCTTGTAACTCTATTGAAAAAGAGATAGGATTAGTCTGGCATGACTTGTTTTTGAGAAATCCATGTTGACTTTTAGTGATGTCCGCATTCCTTTCTAAGTGATTGCAGACTACCTCCTTAATGATCTGTTCCAGAATCTTTCCTGGTATTGATGTCAGGCTGATTTGTTTGGGTCCCCTTATGCTGGCTAAAACATTGTCAGTTCTTAATTTTCTCTTTCCTTTGGTATTTCACAGGGGAGGAGCCAAGGATGCTGGGAAGCTGTAATAGCTCATCTGTTTGTGAAGCAGGAGAAATGGCCTCAGTGGAACAGGATCAGGTAAAAGATGGAAGTAGAAATGAATTGGAGACAATTCTGGAATTGTCCATGGCCACGTCACGTGCCTGGAAAGGTTCTTTCATTGGTTTGTTTTCTGCTTCTGCTCAAGTTTCCTTTTAAGTGATCTTAGGATGCTGTTTTTTGAGGCCTTCATCGTCCACTAGGCCCATACAGTGCTTTCCACTTTAGACTGAATCCTCTATTCAAACTTACATTAGATGAACATAACTTGCATGTTATGGAAGAACCACCTGGGCAATGACTTCTGGGCAGGTGCTCTCAGGATCCTGAACTCCCTTCCCAAAGAGAGGAGACTGCTGTGCGTCTGTCCACCTGCCCCTAGGGCTTATTCCTCTGACTAGAAGAAATGTTTTTGGCTGCCACAGGCCTTGGTTTTAATAATGGATGTATTTAATTGTTTTAATAATTTATGTTTTTAACTAGCTGTACCTGCCACGCTTTGCTGTGGCTAACCTTCCCTCCCTCTTTCTCTCCTTTTTTCCTACCCTTCCTTCCCTCTTTTTCTTTCCCTTCTTCTTTCTTCCTTCTCTACCTGTTTCTTTTCTTGCTTCCTTTGCTCTTTGGTTCCATCCTTCCTTGTCTCTTTCCTTCCTTCCTTCCTTCCCTCTCTCTTTCTCTCTTTTGTTCCTTCTCTCCTTCCTTCCCTCTTTCACTTTTTATTTACTTCTCTCCTTCCTTCCTTCTCTACCTTTCTTTCCTCTCCTTCCTTCTTTCTCTCTTTCTCTCCCTCCTTCTCTCCTTCCTTCTCTACCCTTCTTTCTTCCCTTCCTTCTCTCCTTCTTTCCTTATTTCTCTCCCCTCCTTCTCTCCCTCCTTCTTCCTCCCCCTTTCTGTGTATGTGTTTTATGTGTGTGCGCATATATGTGTGTGTGTATATATGTGTGTGTTTGCGTATATATGTGGTTTTACGCATGCATTGTAATGTAATTTTTGTTTTTTGGTTTTTTAAATCCCTTCTGGTGAGTTTTTTCAGTGTTTTTATGAGTGGTGGTCACTCGTTGGCCTGAGAGGTGCATTGTGTCCAAATTTGGTGTCAATTCGTCCAGTCATTTTTGAGTTGTGTTAATCCCACAAACGAACATTACCGTATATTCCGGCATATAAGACGACTGGGCGTATAAGACGACCCCCAACTTTTCCAGTTAAAATATAGAGTTAAGACCACTCCCGTGCATAAAACTACACCCACGTATAAGACGACCCCTGACTTTTGAGAAGATTTTCTTGGGTTAAAAAGTAGTCTTATACGCCAGAATATACTGTATCTTTTTATTTATATAGATAATTTGGATTTTATTGTATTTGTTTATTTTTGGATTTATAGGTGTTAGCATTGAATTGCTGCCTGTTGTAAGGCCGCCCTGAGTCCCCTTTGGGGTGAGAAGGGCAGGGTACAAATGTGGGAAATAAATAAATAGTTTAATTGGAACAGGGTTCATAAAACACACAGGATCTTGTTTCCTTTGCTGTATTGTGACTTTACCATTTTTCCTGGTTTTGGTTTTTTAAAGCTCAATTGCTTTTGGAACTTCTGGATTTGTGAAGGTTTAACTAGAGCTGTTTTAATCTGATGTAAACTGTCTTAATTCTCCAACTGGGGAAAATACGCCTCATGGTGCAAGAAGCATTACTGATCTGTGTGTCCTAATCCTTCTCTTTCAGGTGACTTTTGAGGATGTGTCTGTACTTTTCAGTGAAGAAGAGTGGGTTCTGCTAGACCTGAATCAACGGGCCCTGCACTGGGAGGTCATGGGAGAGAATTATGAGATGTTGGCCTCTTTCGGTAAGGATCCCTCTGCCTCTTGGTCTGTAGGAATCAGTTTCAGAAATGCCACCTGTTTCTGCAGTCTTGCTGCATCACTTAGGATCATGATTCTTCATCCACTGTTCCAGCTGATTTTACATAATTATATTTTGAGCCCATTTAACTGTACAGTTTTTCTGTTGTTCTTTCTCCATGTCATATCATCACAACGTTTCAAGGTACTTGCACATCCAAATACAATAACTAAAAATGCTTTCTTCTTAGGAAAACATAAGTCATTCATCCAGAATGGATATGTTTTTGAGATCTCAATCTTTAACTCCTTTAAAAAGGATGACAATTTTACCCAGAATATTGTTGGATCATCAATCTGTTGCTCGGGTATTGTTTAACAGAACAGGAACATTTAATTGGAAAATTAAAGTTATTTCATGATAAAGAAGAGTCTTTAACAATGAAGAATCTAAGTGAAATTTTGAAGGGAGTGTGAACAAGAGGATGGTCTGGGCTGCTAGCTAGTTGACTTATTTTCTGCTTCCATTTTCTCATTTTGTCTTAATGTTTCTTTTTTTCTTCAAGGTGGTGCTGGAAAAGAGAGTAAAAATGGGTCGGCATTATGTAAAGTGTGGTTAGAAACAAGATATAAAGATGGGGAAGAGGGAAACCAGGAAATGGGAACAGAAGAATATAGAAGGAAGGAATGTTCTTCTGATACAAGGGAAATCAGAATCCAAGAAATAGTAGATGAAAGCAGGGAAATCAGGAAATGTCTTGCCTTTGAGAGTAGTTTCTTTCATGAGGACTCATGCCTGAATGGTGATATCACCATCCAAATAGAGAAAGGACAACCTAAATGCCATCAATTGGAAGATACCTTTGGGTCTAGTATACACCTTACAAACAGTGAAAAACCACAAATAGTGGATAAACTATATAAATGCCTTGAGTGTGGAAAATGTTTCCGTCATAAAGCAAGTCTAAGACGACACCGAAAACCCCACTTGGGAGAGAAGCTATTTAAATGCCTGCTGTGTGAAAAGGGTTTTTCTGATAAGAGAAACCTTATTGGACATGAAATGAATCACAGAGGAGAGAAACCCTATCAATGCCTGGAGTGTGGGAAGAGTTTCTGTTGGAAAAATAAGCTAAAGCAGCACGAAAATACCCACACAGGAGAGAAGCCCTATAAATGCCTGGAGTGTGGGAAAGGTTTTTCTGATAAGAGAAATTTTATTGCACATGAAATAAATCACAGAGGAGAGAAATCCTATACATGTCTGGAATACGGGAAGAATTTCTGTTGGAAAAATAGCCTAAAGCTGCACCAAAACACCCACATAGGAGAGAAGCCATATAAATGCATGAAGTGTGGGGAAAGTTTTGCTCAAAAAGACGTCCTAAACACACACCAAAAAACCCACACAGGAGAGAAGACGTATAAATGTCTGGAGTGTGGAAAATGTTTCTATCAGAAAGGACACCTCAAAGTCCACAAAGGAACCCACACAGGAGAGATGCCCTATAAATGCCTGGAGTGTGGAAAATGTTTCTTTCAGAAAGGAAACCTCAAGAGACATGAAAGAACCCACACAGGAGAGAAGCTATATCAATGCCTGGAGTGTGGAAAAAGTTATTCTGATAAGAGAAACCTTATTGGACATGAAATGAATCACAGAGGAGAGAAACCCTATCAATGTCTGGAGTGCGGGAAGAGTTTCTGTTGGAAAAATAAGCTAAAGCAGCACCAAAACACCCACACAGGAGAGAAGCCGTATAAATGCCTGGAATGTGGAAAAGGTTATTCTGATAAGAGACATCTTATTGGACATGAAATGAATCACAGAGGAGAGAAACCCTATCAATGTCTGGAGTGTGGGAAGAGTTATAACCTTAAAGGTGGTCTTATCGCTCACCAGAAGAGTCATACAGGAAAGTGTGGGAAGAGTTTTTGTTACAAATCAGATCTCAGAAATGTTCAGGATGGTCATATAGAAGTCAAAATCGAAGACGTATTTGAAGTGAGGGAAGAGCTTCCATTGGAGAACAAATCTCAAGGCTCACCAAAAAGCCCACATGGGAGAGAAGTAAAAAAGCCTGGAATCTGATAAGAGTTCGAACTCAAAGATTACGGGAATGTTCATTCACAGAGAAATTCTACACATTCCTGCATTTTGGAAAGAGTTGAGTTACACAACAAGCTTTCACGATGTAGTAAAATAATAATAATAATAATACTTATTTATATACCGCTCCATCTCCCCGAGGGGACTCTGAGCGGTTCCCAGGTAACATCACAAAACATACAAAGAAAAAACAACATAACCATAAGATTAACAAAATAAAATATAAGCATAAAAATTGTTGCTATAACACACATTATTTATTTGTTTGTTTGTTTCCGTTGCTTTTAACCCGCCCTTCTCAACCCCCGAGGGGGGGACTCAGGGCGGCTTACACAACAATGCACTATTTGATGCCTATACAGTTACAGTTACACATAATAAAATCATAGTTAAAACAATTAAAACAATTATTACAGTTAAACACACGAAGTAAACAAACCACATTATATGAAACTATTCACGCGTTCAGCATTCGTCTTCCGGGTTCCAGATTCCGTTCCATTAAACATTTCCTAGGCCATATCAATCCTTTCTTTACCTACCCGATTGACCAAACGCTTGGTCCCACAACCATGTTTTCAGTTTTTTCCTGAAAGAGAGGAGTGTGTTCGCTGTTCTGATTTCCCCAGGAAGCGAGTTCCACAGGCAGGGGGCCACCACCGAGAAGGCCCTGCTCCTCGTCCCCGCCAGCCTCACTTGTGATACTGGCGGGATCGAGAGCAGCCCCCCCCCCCCAGCATCTTAAACTCCGAGGTGGGACGTAGAAGGAGATACGTTCGGACAGGTATGCTGGGCCGGAGCCGTATAGGGTTTTGTAGGTCAAAACCAGCACTTTGAATTGTGCTCGGAACTGGATCGGCAGCCAGTGGAGCTGACATAACAGAGGGGGGGGTGTGCTCCCTGTATGATGCTCCAGTGAGCAATCTGGCTGCCTCCAGTTGGACTAGTTGAAGTTTCCGAACAGTCTTCAAAAGCAACCCCATGTAGAGTGTGTTGCAGTAATCTAATTGGGATGTAACGAGCGTTATTAAAAGTAATCCTGCCTGTTCAAGGCAATTAAAAAAATTAAAAGGCCAGACCAAGATTTGTGCAAGCCCAAAAATTCTAGGGGGAGGGGGCGGAAATTAAGTGCAATGCTATGGCAGGCAACAATAATTTTAGGTACGGGTTTGTGGCTGTTCATTCCAGGGCCAATTAGAGGAAATGATCTGGGTAATTGGTAGGAAGAATAAGGCCGTATTCGACAATGTGTAGGGCTGAGTTAGAACTGGTCATTTTCAAAGGCTTGTTGAAACCACCAGGTCTTCAAGCTCTTACAAAAGGAGGGGAGGGATGGGCCTGTCTTATTTCCCTTGGAAGGGCATTCCAGAGATGGGGGGCCACCACTGAGAAGGCCCTCTCTCTCGTCCCCACCAACCATGCTTGAGACAGTAGTGGGACCGAGAGGAGGGCCTCCCCGGAAGATCTTAGAGCTCGGGAAGGAAGCAATGGAAATGCCTGGAGTGTGGTAAAGCCTTCACTCAGAAGAAAAATCCCCTTGAGCATGAAATGAATCTCAGAGGAGCGAAGCTTCTAAAACAGGGGTCCTCAAACTTTTTTAACAGGAGGACCAGTTCAGCATCCCTCAGGCCGTTGGAAGGCAGGACTATAGTTTTTTAAAAAATGATCAAATTTCTATGCACCCTGCACCTATCTTCTATAGTGCTAAATGGGTTTTAGTACAATAAATCACATTATCCTTTCGGGAGAGACTGTCCAAGTTGGTGTCTGGTGGGTGCCTGATTCTCAGTGGTTCTGCTTATACCTGGAGGACCAATGAAGTACATTGGTGTTAGAAAAGAAACTTCAAATCCCATATAGATTATTGCAACACACTCTATGTGGGGTTGCCTTTGAAGACTGTTAGGAAACTCCAACTACTCCAACAGTTGGCAGCCAGATTACTCACCAGAGCGACTTACAGGGAGCATACCACCTCCCTGCTTCGTCAGCTCCACTGGCTGCTGGTCCAGTTCCAAGCACAATTCAAAGTGCTGGTCTTGACCTATAAAGCCCTATACAGTTCCGGACCAGTTTACTTGTCCGAACGTATCTCCCTCTATGACTCACCTCAGAGTTTATGATTGTTAGGGGAGGCCATGCTCTCGATCCCACCACCCTGGCAAGCACGATTGGTGGAGATGAGAGACGGGGCCTTCTCAGTGGTGGCCCCCATCTGTGGAATTTACTCCCCAGTGAAATCAGGGCAACTATTTCTCTCCTCTCCTTCAGGAAAAAAACTCAAGTCTTGGCTTTGGGACCAAGCATTCGGGCAGCTGGCTGAGCAACATCTGTAATGACTCATGAGAATTGTTAATTAGGAGACCTTTGACTAGCACTTTACCCATTGGGTTGTTCTCCACTTTTGGTTTAAAACCCTCCTACTAGATACATCCTCTGTTCATGTCCAGTATCCATTTTAAAAGTTTTAACTATTACATTTGGCCTGGCCATACGTTTTTAAATTCTTGTATTTTATTGTCTACGTGTGAGTTATACTAATTGTATTGTTTATTTTGCTTATTGTTGTTGTTTTTAATGATGTGTTGTTGTTCTTGGCCTCATGTGAGCCACTCCGAGTCCCTTGGGGAGATGGTGGCGGGGGATAAATAAAGTTTTTTTTTAATTTTATTGCCTGGAACTCTGGACTATGATTTGGATTTGCGGACTCAGATTTGGTTATGTTAATATTTTAAGTGCCAATATTTTTATTGTATTTTTATAGCTGTTGATTTATGCATGTTAATTGTTGTGTTCTGTTTCTTTGTCGGCATCTAATTTTTATTTATTATTTATTTACCTTACTTATATACCGCTGTTCTCAGCCCGAAGGCGACTCACAGCGGTTCACAGCAATAAGAGACAGCAGAATTCAATGTTACAGTATAAAAACAGTTAACAACTTAACACATTACACAATTAATAAACAATAAGCAATTAACAATTTCTACAATACCATTCACTATCATCTCATCATCAAAAACATGATCCAGATTCGTCATCCATTGTTCCATTCTAGTGTTCATTAACCAATCATTGCACTAATTATTCGAATGCCTGCTCAAACAGCCAGGTCTTCACTTTTTTGTGGAATACCATTAGAGATGGTGCTAGTCTAATGTCGGTAGGAAGGGCGTTCCACAGCCGAGGAGCCACCACCGAGAAGGCCCTATCTCTCGTCCCCGCCAGCCGTGCTTGAGAAGCAGGCGGGATCGAGAGCAGGGCCTCCCCGGAAGATCTCAAAGTCCTGGTGGGTTCATAGGCAGAGATGCGGTCGGATAGGTAGCTTGGGCCGGAACCGTTTAGGGCTTTAAAGGCCAACGCCAGCACTTTGAATTGAGCCCGGTAGCAAATCGGTAGCCAGTGGAGTTGGCGCAAGAGGGGGGTTGTATGCTCCCTGCGCTCCGCTCCTGTTAACATGGCTGCCGAGCGTTGGACTAATTGGAGCTTCTGAGCCGTCTTCAAAGGCAACCCCACGTAGAGAGCGTTGCAGTAGTCTATACGGGATGTAACCAGAGCGTGACTACCGTGGCCAAGTCAGACTTCCCAAGGTATGGGCCAGCTGGTTTTAATTGTGCAAATGCTCCCCTGGTCACCACCGAGACCTGTGGTTCCAGGCTCAGCGATGAGTCCAGGGTCACACCCAAGCTGCGAACCTGCGTCTTCAGGGGGAGTGTAACCCCGTCCAACACAGGCTGTAACCCTATACCCTGTTCGGCCTTGACTGACCAGGAGTACCTCTGTCTTGTCTGGATTCAATTTCAATTTGTTCACCCTCATCCAGATCGTCACAGCGGCCAAGCACCGGTTCAGGACCTGCCAACTGTAATGACTGCCAACTGTAAGCCGTCCTGAGTTCCCCTTCGGGGGTTGAGAAGGACGGGATACAAATGCTCTAAATAAATGAAATATCTTATTTTAAAAAACAAAACAGGAACAAATACAATATTTCAAATGAAGAACCACTTTAACTCAAAGTTATGGAATCTTGGGGCTGCAGTTTGATCTTTTGGCAGAAAAGGCAAAACAGTTTATAAAATTTTACATCCCAGGATTTCATAGCATTACGCCATGGCAGTCAAATTGGTGTCAAACTACATTAATTCTGCAGTGTAGATGCACTCTATTTTTCAGCGCTTTAGCTGTACATCATCAGGTGCCCCCTCTTCATATACACTAGTGGTTCTCAACCCTTCGTCATGCCGTAACCCCTTCATACAGTTCTTCATGTTGTGGTGACCCCCAACCACAAAATTATTTTCATTGCTACTTCACAACTGTTATTTTGCTACTATTACGAATTGTCATGTAAATATCTGATATGCAAGATGTATTTTCATTGTTACAAACTGAACATAAAACATAGTGATTAATCACAAAACAATATGTAATTATATACTGTGAAATATATATTTATAAATAAAATAAATAATATATATTTATTTTTAATAGTGCTATTAAGATTTAACATATAGTGTTATTAAGGTTTAACATTTAAGGGGAAAAAGAGGAGTGGAGAAAAGGGGGTTTATTGGGATAGAAGGGTTGGAAAGGGTGGGTGTGCTCAGAGGGGAGTCTCTCATTTGGTATCAGCCATTGGTTGAGGTTCTGGGTTTGAGCCTGTCACTTTTGGACTCTCGCTTGCTGAGGTGTTCCAGTGAGTGTCTCTGTAGATCTTAGAAAACTATTTCTTGATTTAAGTTGTTGACGTGCCGGCTGATACCCAAACAGGGGATGAGCTGGAGATTTATTTATTTTATTTACTTTATTTGTATACCGCACTATCTCAGCCCGTAGGCGACAGATGTCTCTGCCTTGGTCCTTTCACTATTGGCTGCTACTTCCTGGCAGATGTCAGGTGGTGCGATACCAGCTAGACAGTGTAGTTTCTCCAGTGGTGTAGGGCGCAGACACCCTGTGATGATGCGGCAGGTCTCATTAAGAGCCACATCTACTGTTTTAGTGTGGTGAGATGTGTTCCACACTGGGCATGCTTACTCAGCAGCAGAGTAGCATAGCGCAAGGGCAGATGTCTCCACTGTGTCTGCTTGTGATCCCCATTTGTTTGAGGATGCCTGATATAGACAGACAGGATGAGATAGTGGCAGACCAAATGAATGCACCATAGGGCAAAAAAACACAGCCCTGAAGGTCACAGTCCAGCCCATAAGGAGTGGAGAGTAATATTCTGGAAGAGGTGTGTGTGTGTGTGTGCGCCTTGCTTTGAGACTGAGGGACTCACCTGATGGCTAGCATGAGGCGAAACCACAGGCCTGAAGGCCATGGCCAGCACTTGTTTACCAGTCATGGGAGGGCCAAGGGGCGGGGTCCCAAGAGGGAGGGGGAGAGGGAGGGGGCGTGTCTAGGAAGGAGAGCCCCCCCCCCATCACCACCACCAGCAGCAGATTTCCTGGGAGAAGGGCTGCAGACACAAAGAGGCAACAGCTGATCTCTCTTCTTTCCTCTTCTCTTCCCTCTCAAAGCCATGCGGTGAGTCCTCCTTTTTCCCCATCTTCAGTTTTTCGGGGGAAGCCTCAGATCTCCAGTTTTTGGGGGAAACCTCAGACCTGGAGGTGAAGGGGAGGGAAGGCTGCCTCTGGGGAGAAGAAAGAGGGAGGGGGAAA